CCACGGTCACCGTCGCCACCGACCCGTCCGTTGTCGACCCCCGCACTCTCTTGCGCAAGCCGGTCCAAGTCAACGGTCCGGAGGGGGAGTCTAAGTACCCCACTCTCAAGCGCGCCTTCGGTCTTGCTCGCGAAATCGATGTCACCCCCTCCTTCGAGACTCTTCGGACTCTTGAGGACGTCGTTCGCAATGACAAGGGTGAAGGCAGCAGCCGGATTGTCGAGGTCGACTCGGACAGCGACTCGCACGCATCGAAGCGCACTCGCCTCTCTCTTGCTGAGCGCATTGACTGGGTCAGCAACATCGACCTTGGTGAGGCGATCGAACGCCACCTCAATGACGAGGATGCCGACGAGGACTACGACGTCGCAGTCACTCCAGACAGCGACATCGAGGACGAACTCACGCGCGCTGCCGGACTCGACGAGCAGTACTACGAGCAGATGAGGTCAGTACCCTGCCCTCGCTCTTACAAACAACACGCTAACGCGCTTTTTACAGCTGCGGCAACTAGCGTGGGGGAGCATAGTTTACAGTCCCCAGTTTGTATAGTAGCAGAGAATCTATATCAACATTCGCGCTCGTTCGCTGAGTGTGCTAGATGTAAGGGCAAAGGGAAAGACGTCTCCATTCCTACATGGATGCTCGACTCTGGAGCGTCGATGCATTTCACGTATGAGCTCGACGACTTCATTGAGTACGAACCACTCAAAGAGTTCATCCCGCTTAAAACGGCCAATAAGGGCCCTACGTCATAGTCATCGGAGTTCCAGGAACTCCGAGGCCTAGTGACGCAAGACAAGGGAAAGGGATAAACTGATAAGAAGAGATATAACATCGACGAAGAAAAAGCGCGAAGACTACCAAGGAAGGAAGGCACGGACGTCCGAGGAAGTCCCGTCCGGAACTCCTGCCGGAGTTCCGGCGGAGGTCACGTTCCCTGGTGGCACGGATCGTGACATACCCCAGAGACACGATATACTGTGTCAAGACGCCCCCTATTCGGGATGCGATGGGGATGTTCCAGACTGTCTATAGTCTGGACTACAACACAATGCATCGCCGCTTCGGACATCCATCCAAAGATGTGCTGAGGCATGCAAGGGAGCATACTCGCAACTTTCCCACGATTGATTTTCCCTCGGAAGATCCAATCTGTCGTGGTTGTGCGGAAGGAAAGATGCCTATGCGGCCTTTCCCTCCATTGCTCAAGTGCGTGTCGAGACCGTTTGAACTCATTCACTCGGATCTCAAATCGCTGCCTTGCGACTCGTACCACAAGTACAAGTACGTCATCAC